CATAGTTAAAACCAAGTGATGAAGAGCAATTGAAATTACCTGCTTGTACAAAGCATTCTACAGAAGGTCTTAGCTTCATTCAATCCAAATCCATCTGCACACACTGTGCCCCATTGCTTGGTATCAGGACGAAGAACCTCGAGCCTTCCCCTGGATGAGGTACCACCGACAAGGCGAACATCGCTACTTGCAGCTTTAGAGCCTTGTAGAATGTTAAATTTTGTATATCAATATTTCATTATAGTGTAAAAAATTAGAATAGTAAGTGAGCATAGTTTAGATGAACCTAATAATCATGATAACTTTGTCTTCATCACATGTGTATAACTTTATAAGGCGATAACTGGAAGTAATTTTAAATAAATATAAGATTATTCCTCACTCGATTCAGACCAAAGATATAGATTGTCAGGATTAGTCAATTTCATAAATATCTCAAACTTCTCTTAAAAAACATACTTTCATGAAGTAATTAATTTGTTTATGCGAGAAGCCGGACGAAGGAATTTTGGAAAAGTTCGATTATTTGAAGTATGGATTGGTCCGGTAAAGCTAAATCAGTTTGGATTTCGGATATTCGAGTAAAATAGTGATATTCCATATTAATCTATGTAGGATAATAAAGAAAAACTGAGCTTAAAAGAATTCCTCAGTGATATATTGTGACATGGCTTTCCAGTTCGAAGGAAAAGTCGGTTGAAAGTAATTCGAAATGGAAAGTAGTCATTATATAGGATAATTTAATTTTAAATATCATTAGAATTCTTCAGTCCTCGATCAATAAACTGTGTCGTCTAATAAGGTAAGAAGTATTTATAATATATAATTAGTTAAATGTTGATAACGTATGCATGGTAGGAAGTAAGTTGATGAAAGATGACAAATGTTTAATAAATGTAAAGTTGAGGGCCAAAATAAAAATTTCCCTATTATACGATTATAATTATCTCATAAGTAAAACAGGTCGGTTTAGAGGATGCCCTAGACGTGCAAGTGTTGAGTTTAGTTGCATCTTAAGTACTAGTTTGTGTTGAGATGCCGAAGCCGATTACACATGAATAAGACGGAAGATGGTCCTTAGTTAGATATCACTTGGCTCTACCGGAGCATTCTTTTTGACACAGTCACCTATTTCTACCCCTTTAATTCCAGTAAAAACGTATTGATTTTTCGTCCATCCTATGACAGAGTATTCTATTAACCAAATCAAGATGAGTCAAGAAAACTCTTCGACTTGTTTCGTCTATAAGTAAGTTTTCGAGACTACCAGTACACTTCATATATCAATGATTTATCACTACAAGCAGTGTATATCGCTTAAACTCAATACATTGCGTGGTATAGGGAGATTTGGCCAATTCATAGCATGAAAACATAAATGATTATGAGATTACGTGTTTTCGTGTGTATGTAAAACTAGGAAAACATCAGTTATATTTCCAAGTAATTAAATTACTGCGGAGACTTTCATTTAGTACGAAAGTGCATGCTGAAGAGATTCGTAGGTCAATTTTACCCGGACGATGACTTATTCCCGTTATACTGCAGCTGTTTGGCTTTAATACGACGTTCAGATTGATGAGGTTCATGAAACACCCTTCCTCGTTTTGGACTGAAAAGGACTGAGTTTTTGTAGAAAAACTGAGATGCGAAGAATCCCTTAATATATTCAAGTAGGAGTACCTTTCATTTCGTTTGAAGAGGCGAGCGGAAGGGATTTGTAAGTTGGCTCCACCGGAGGCTGTGAGGGGGTCGCCTTGGAGCTGTGGTTGTAGATTTGTGCGAATAGATCCTCGGCGCACCGCCCTGCGACCCTGATGAATCCTTGCTGAGCTTTCGTCCGTCATGTGACGGACATCGTCAGAGCAGGACACCATGCTTAACGATAATTCACCAAAAACACGGTGGCAAATAAGGTGGCCGGCTTCAAACCCACTTCTTATATTCCAATTTGGTCCACTTATGCATCTCATATTTTGATTGGATGACCTGACTGAAACCTACGTCTCGGAGATTTGCTTTAACTGAGGGCAACCCCTGAGTCTGAACTAAAGGGTTTCCGTAGGCTCCCTACCGATTACCTATAGCATTGTGTAACAAACAGGGAACTGGAGAAGGGAAAGATGAACACGATTCTTCAGCAAGATGCTAAGCCTTCGAATGCATTCTTCTGAACAAAATACATAACGATGAAGTGCTACTCAGAATTATTATGAATAATAGAAGCGTGATGCACAAAACATCACGATTTATTTGTAACCAGTTAAAGCAAATCTCCGAGACGTAGAAGGTTTCAGTCAAGAGTTCCTATAAATTCATCAACTTAGTTGACGAGCAGGATATAGAAATTTGGCATTTGCTGGTAAGTTTTGATGTTGAGTCTATATACACTAACATCCCTGGAGATGATGCCATACAAACCCTACAGTCCACATCAGACCAACATGCGGAGATTTTAATGAGCACGAAGTTAAGTACAGGGTCAATAATGATACTGACCAACCTAGCCATGTATTGTACATATTTTACCCTTAATGGTAAACTGTACGAACAAACGCAAGGTTTAGCTATGGGGTCGTGTTTGTCATCAATTTTAGCAAATAATTACATTGCTCAATTTGAGAAACATTTAATTAAGGAGTCGCTTTTAGTTCCTAAATTATTAGTTCACTATATGGACGACTGCTTTCCTATTTAGCACACATGGAAAAGAAAACCTTGAGAATTTTCTTAGTTTGATGATCAGGATCGATGGCAAGACGAAATTCATCATCGAGTTAGGAAAGGAAGCTAGTTTACCTTTTCCTTATGTTCTAGTTAGCAGACGGGAACAGATTAGGTCGAGATGTGTATAGGAAACCCACAAATGTAGGTTTCCTTTTGAATTTCTTCTCCAACCACACTTATGGGATTAAAGTAGGAGTTATGACATCTATGATAATAATGAGCCTGCATCTGGCAGATGTTAAACATCGGAACCAGGAACTGAGGAGACTAAGGCGAATTCTGGTTGAGAATAATTATCCAGGAAGGCTGGTTGACAACAATTCCTGGTTATTCTCAAATACGATGAAGAGAAATGCATATTTGAGGATAGATAAATAGATAGATCACTCTACCAGGATCCTTATGCTGCCATCGTGTAATCTGTCGAAGAAGATAGGCTAACTACTAGGGAGATGCGACATCAGAACCATTTATAAAGAGAAAATAACAGTCCTCGGTATTGCCCTCTTTTCGAGGATACTCTGACCGGCTCTCCAGATCGGGCTGTTGCAAGATTTTGTGTTCACCTGGTAGTGCCTGTGGAAGAGACCTGTAGGCCTATATATAAGAGGTTATCTGAGCACAAAACAGTTTACAAGGGCACGCGGCTCCAAAAATCGGAATTGGCGGAACACATGGCTCGAACAGGACACCAGATAGATTCGTCTAATGCCAAACGTTTAGCTGGATATGGAGACGATAGAAATCTACAAAACAGCCACTGTAGGAAGTTAAGCGGAAACTACTTGTGGTTGTTGGATAGATTTAGGGAGAGGGGGGACGAAACGTACTGCTGAGCAAGAGGAGGAGGCTTGATTGGGTTAGAATTTGGTTGAGACTCTCACATCACACTCATTTCAAGACTAATTCCCTCACACAACACGCCTGCAATGGGACTCAATCACATGCGGTAACGTTTCAGGATCAATGGCAGCTGTTCAGTTTCAATTGCCCCCATTTCACGCTTCATCTGTAGCCAGTTCCTATGTCATCCGCAGCCACATAACTTAACTTATGAGCAAATATAGAGGCAGAGCATAGGACATCCAACCAAAACATAAGATGCATAAGTTGACCGATTTGGAATATAAGGAAGTTGGTTTGAAGCTAGTTACCTATCTTGCCTTCGTGTTTTTGGTGAATTATTGCTAAGTATGGTGTCCTGCTCAGACGGTATCCGTCACATGATGGACGAAAGCTCAGCAAGGATTCATCGGAGTCACAGGGCGGTGTGCCGAGGACCTATTCGCACAAATCTACAACCACTGCTCCAAGACAAACGCCCCACAGCCTCTGGTTGAGCCAACTTACGATTCCATTCTAATCGCCTCTTCAAACTAAATGAAAGGTACTCCAACATGGACTGAAGAAAATCCTCAAAGCTATGAATCATTCTTGAGAAGGTCTCAAGCTGACGTTAAGTCAAAAAGACTGACTCGCTCTGTTCTACATATATATATTCTCATAGGGAAAAGATAATTATGTATAGACGGATATAGAATCGTTCGGATAGTTCTCTTATACTAGTGTGTCTGTGTCTGTTAATGTATGTACGCAATACCGGATATAACTCAATAATTAGAAAATAACAATGCCATTTAATGTTTTCCTTTGTTAAATAAACTAGAATGACCTGACGGGTTCTACTGGTGGATTCTTAGCATGACTTTCAAACATACAGACTAAAGAAATTTCTGGGATGCTTTGCCTTGTGTGTTTAAGCCTTGATGAGCCAAAGTTAATGCTAGCCTTTTTTTAAATTAATCTTAGTTATGGCCGGTATAAGTATAAAAGAACTAAACAACCTATTCCATACCCATCTATATGGAAATATTTTTTCCTTTCGAGTAGGACAGAACCAATCAGTCTTTGTGACTTAGTGTTAACTTGAGACTTCTGCGAGAATGATTCCCAGTTCTGATGATGTTCGTCATGTGAAAAACAAAAGCTCAGTTAGTTTTCACCGGAAACGAAAAAGGATGTTTCGTGGACTACGTCAAATTGAACATCGTATTGAAGCCAAGCAGCTGCAGTACAATGGGAATGGGCCGTCATCTTCTGGTGAAGTCGACCTACATGTCTCTTCAGCATGCATTTAAATACAATATGAAAGTCCCCACTTCAATGTTATCTCAGGAACACCATCGAAAACCCATTTTTACGAGTAATTAAAGCAGAGCTTACATTCTTTTCTCTGCCATTAAGTTTTAATGGCTCCTTTTTGGAAATCACGCTTATCGCGTAAGACTTAACATATGTCTAATTAAATTTATGAGATTTTGTGCGTGTGTTACATTGTTTGAACTAAAACATGAAGAAAGTGCGACCGTAATTAAAATCAGGATCATTAAAGGATTATTTGAGTCATTTACTATACCTATACACTTTTATTTTTTAGTTATTAGTATACAAGTGACTCCGTATTAACGTAAAGCTTTTGCAAGGATAAGCTTTAGCTCTGATGATGTCCATCATATGATGGACGAAAGCTCACCACATTTTCAATAAAACGATGGAAGAGGTCTCATAGACTTCGCCAACTTGAACGCCAAACGGCTGCAGAACAATGGGAATCAGCCGACGTCTTTCGGTGAGATCAACCAATGAATCCCTTCATCACGAATTTCATATGAAATCCAACGCAAATTTCTGCGACCTCGAAAAATCCATACTGATATACAGTTTCGGTGTGGAAAATTATTCTTTTAGGAAAATTCACTTAACACTAAACCAAGGGCTTTACTAGGCTATGATCTTAAGTCATTCTGATAGCCTAACTGTCAGTTAATCCCAATATGTGTTTGTTTATTTCATGCTAACTCTATGTCTGCAAATAACCAAGGTGGATAAGAATAACATAAAATTGATGTAGTTGTGAGCTAACAGCTATTTGCTTTCAAAAATGACTTGCATTTCGATTCTGCCATTTTGACACATTTAATACACATGGGTCATGTCTAATGTGATAGCCCTAACCAGATTCAGAATTAATCAAGTTTTCTTCTTACAATTTCTATCTTTTTATATCACTTTCCAAAAGCTCATTTAACAACCGAAGGTAATTCCAACTCAACATGCTATGCTGATCCCCGTTTATCATAATAGTAGCTTGTTGATTTGCTGTCGTTTATTAGAATTAAGCTTATCTATAAGGTCTGTGTATCTTGCAAGACCTTTTGTTTGGGACAGTTCTATTTAGTATTTTTAGATCATACATTAATTTAGTTTAGCTTTTTAAATGAATATGCCTGCAATGACCCAGCCATATTGTTTTACTTCACTTCACCTATCTCCGAATAACCCTTTTTAAATGAAAACAATTATCATCCTTATTTACGCAATACAACTAGCGGTCGATCACCAGCATTTGGATCTTCCAGATGATGGCCTTCTAACTCAAGCAAAGTCAGCTGCCCAGCACCAATCACTTCGCCATAGACGAGTCGCATTATGAAGCAAGAACTCCTAGCTGAAATGATTTTCTTCTTTGCAAATAAGGCATCTACATCAACCAGCCGCCCTTACACATAAAGCACACTAACATATTTATCTTGTTTAGAATAAATCTAGAATGCAATATCCAAAATTGTGCCAAAGGTGCTTAAGCTTGCGCCAAGGTTCACAATTCATAATAACTCAGCCATATATACAGTAAATAGCTGTACTCATTAGAAGCCTTCACCTTAACTCACAAATAGAATATTTTGGCAACTAGCTAGAGAGCGTATTTAGTATGAAACTCGGACTGTCTGTTATTTAAAGACAGTTTTCGAGAAAATAAAACGAACAGGTGATAAATATATAATGTATATATGAAAACTAAATTGCTAGAGGTCTTAATTATTTTTATGCGAAAAGCCTTTGGCAAATTTAATTCATCTCAGTGAGATTTAAAAATAATCTCCATGACAAAGGAATATATGGCAAAGTGGGGAACTTAAAAATATTTGTGAAATGGGCAAAAATGTAATTTGGTTTCACAAGTTTATACGACAGTACAACTTGAGTCTGCAAGGTAATTAAGTCAGCTAGCTATGAAGTCAAGTTGGACTTAGAGTCAAACTGACAGAAACTAGATCATCAGGCAAGGTACTAAATTTGGCGATAATGG